AGGACAGGGTATTCTCTTACGTAGTGACAGCTCACTACAGCTATCTGCTTATAGTGACTCCGACTGGGCATCTTGTCCTCTTACTCGTCGCTCTGTGAGCGGCTACTTTATCCTTCTAGGTGGCTCGCCAGTTTCTTGGAAAACAAAGAAACAAACCACCGTGTCCCGTTCATCAGCAGAAGCTGAATATCGTGCCATGGCTAACGCATGTGCAGAGGTACGATGGATCCGCGGTCTTCTTGGGGCACTCGGCATTACTCCACCGACAACGCCACATTTGTTTTGTGATAACAAGTCCGCTTTGTTTATTGCTGCCAATCCTGTTTTTCATGAACGCATGAAACATATTGATATTGATTGCCACATTGTCCGTGAATGCGTTCAGCGCGGTGAGATCGCCACCGCATATGTTCCTACTCGTCTACAAATTGCTGATTTGTTCACTAAGGCTTTGAACAGGCCTCTCTTCGAGTTCTTATTGTCCAAGTTGGGCATTCGTGATCTCCATGCTCCAACTTGAGGGGGAGTGTTAGCATATATATTTATTTACTACCATATATGTAATTAGTTTTCTTTGTAATTAGTTTCCTTGTTAGTAGTGTAATTAGTTTCCTTGTTAGTAGTCCTTTCCATACTTGGAGTAGGACTTGGCACATGTATATATACGTTGTGAATATTGAATGAAAGGCAGTTCAGTTTTTCCAAAATTCTACAAATCCCCGTAGCTTAAAAATTGGTCATCAAAACCCCATTTTGTTTCAAAATTTCTTTTTAAAATTAATAATATGATTTATCTCATTACTATGACCTCCAACATATCACTTCTTTCTTTTCAATCTAATTATCTCATTAGAATAGTTATAAAGGCATAGAAAGAAAAAAAATTATTGGATAGGAGGGGTTTATATTAACACGGCTTTTAATTATATATGGTAGATAATGCAAATTAACTGAATAATTAAAAGTTTACTATTTCTCAAAATGTTATACGGAGTATTTGACATTAGTTTGTGTACACGCTACTTCTTTCATCTCAATCTAATTATCTCATAAAAATAGATATAAGGAAAAACAATGAAAAATATTTATTAGATAGGAGGAGTAGATATTGACTTGGGCTTTAAATCATGACCAATAGAGAAGGTTAATTGCATAATTAAAAGTATACTATTTCTGAAAATGTAATCTTGAGTATTTGACATTAGTTTGTGTAATTTTGATGGCCGACCAAATTCTTCCAGCATCTCCCGTGATTTAAAAGTTGACATCAAAATTCTTTTTTGTTTCAAAACTTATTTTTTAAAATTCATTTGATTTATCTCATTAGAATGGTCCTAACACATTACTTCGTTCTTCTCAATTTTATTATCTCATTAGATTAGAGATAAGGGCAAACAAGGAAAAATATTTATTGGATGGTAGGAGTAAATATTAACATGGACTTTAAATTATGATCGAAAATGTAGGTTAATTGCATAATTAAAAGTTTACTATTTCTAAAAATGTAATACTGAGTACTTGGCATTAGTTTGCCCATGTTAATATTTACTCCTCTCATTTTCTGGCAAAGATTTTTTTATTCCTTTTTTATTTTTTATATTTTTCAAAGACAAATGAAAAGAAAATAAATACTTCTCCGGTCCCATTTCATTAATTTTCATAACAAAAAAGAATATTTTTAAGAACATTTAAAAAATAAAATGAACAATAGAAAAACGAAATACTCCGTAAAAGAGAAGAAAAGAAGAACAAAAAGATTGAAAAAATGAAATAAAAGAAAAGACCAATAAAAAAGATTGAAAAAGAAAAAAAGAAAATAAAAGAAAAGAAGAATAAAAAAATATTGAAAAAGAAAAAAAATGAAATGAAGGGTATTCTTGTCATTAAGAACTGGATTTATAGCTTTAACGCTCGTGGTTTAAATATTAGACACCGATATCCTCTCTATCAAGAAAATCATCTACGGAATAGTATACTGGAACTATTTTCTAAATCACGAAAATACTGGAACTATTTGACCAACTTTTAATCAGAGATTACCAACCAACAAATATACAAAATCCATTTTCAGATTTCATTAGCAATTGAGATTTGAGATCAACGTTAATAATTAATTAATTCTTTTGGGCATGGCTTCATCGTCGTCCAAGAAATGGGCGAAATTCGTATCTCAATTTGCATCTCTGCTTTATTTTCTCGTCATCATTTTGCAGGTTCCTCTTTTCAGGTAATTAATCTGTTCTTCTTTTCCCTTAGCTTTTAACATACATTTCATATATATTCCATTTATTCACATTTAATTGACGATTATGACCAAATTTTATGATAGATTATAATAAAAATTGAGTGAATGTAGATCTTATATTTATTCAAATGTACTCAGTCCATTCATTTTTAGTTGACTATTATAGAAGTATTTTTTTATGACACATCAAAAGTTACATAAATATAAACATGTGTCTAAATATATTTAAAAAATCTAGGTTTATAAGGCTAAAACATGAATTGCAGATATTTTCATAGATTAACGGCTCATCACTAAAACGACACGACCACAAACTTTGTCACGAAATTCTGGAACCCATAACAATGTTTGTGACTGACTTGTCAAGGGCTTCAATTCCACGCCAATGATCAACGTTTACAGTTTAGTGGTAATATATTTTTTTCACCTGAATTGTGAGTGATCTATATTTCGACATTTCGTGACAATAGCGGTGTGATCTTTAACTCAAAAAATGTCGCCATTTGCCAAGAACGATGTGACCCATAACACAAACTCCCGACTGTTGAAAATATAATCTCATATCGAACACTCAAGTTTAAGAAGACCAATACATAGGAATATGAGTCACTTTGTCTATCGACAATTAGTTTTGTGATGGAATCCCGTAATTCTACACTGAAAAATACCCAGTGTTTTTTTCTGTAGTAGTGAATGTAAAAGTTGAAAAATGCAGATTAAAATGCAGAATTGGGATTTGTAGAACACCTATAGAGGTGACAACATATCAACTATTTGCAAGTGAAGTGCTTCCTGCAACTGTGATAAAGCCACTGCTCTATCCAGGAGCCATTGCAAAAGCTCTTCTCAACAATAAGCCCTTCCCAAGCTATGATAAGCTTCTCCTTTTCTATAACTTGTTTGGAACACATAAACAAACAGCTACAGGGTTTAGTCTCCATCACCTTGAGGTAATTTTATTTTGGCTTTTCATTCTACTCTCTTATCTTAAAAACAATATCATAGTTTAATTATCAAAGCTTATAAGTTACTTCCTCCGTCCCAGAAAGAGTTTCCCTTATTGACTTTTTGGAAAATTAAGGGATTTTTGTATTGACTTTCCAAAAATACCCTTAATGTGATAGGTAAAAGTAAGATGTGATGGATAGATTATTAGTAAAAAGGTATGATATGATAGATAGGGTATGAAAAAAATAATGGGTAAAAATGGTTTTTTAATAGATAAGGAAACATCTTTTGGGAACAACAAAAAGATGAAAGGGAAAGATCTTTTAGGAACAGAGGAAGTAAATAAAAAAATTGTACATAGTATGTATATATCACACATAGTGATTGTTAATCTATGACTCGTTTTTGGTATCCAAACCAGGTATTAGTAGGGAGTTACATGTGTGTTGCAGGGGCAATTTTGGGATTAACAAAGAGAAGATCATCAGGTAGGATTAGCCTCTTTGGTTTGGTGCTAATCATCATATGGGGTGTGAAGAGAGAAACAGCCTTTGCAATTAGAGGAGATGAGACATTAATAATACTCCCATCAATGTTTCTTGCTCTTCTTTCTGCTCTCTTCTCAATGAGAAGAGATGTCAGAAAGCTCATCCGCCACAAAACCTCTTAGCGACGAATCATTCCTCAAACAAATTTGAGCGGAATTAGTGACGGAACTTCTATTGCATGCTGAAATTAGTGATGTATATTCGATAATTAATATCATATTTATATACATTATTCAAATTGAACGTGACAATATTTTGTAATGGCATAATACTCTATTCAATTCGTTATGGAGTCATTATACCATTAGAAAAGGGTGGACCCCATTCTCAAGAATCCATCACAAGTGAGATAGTCATCTTAGAAGAAATTAAGCTTTAATCATATAATAGCTGACAAAGGGTAAAACATGTCTTTAGTATTTGCAGAAGCTTTATGTTTAACACAGTTGTTTCATAAGAAATCACTCTAAATAAGACTAAAACATAGAGAAAGCATCACAATAAGAGTTCTATGTTTTTATTCCGATTCCTAAATAAAAGTTCGCAATGTACGTGGCAATGTGATACTATATATGTTCATTTTACGTAATGTAAATGGTCATGATTGGTAATGTAAATGCATTTTAACTCCAATTTCGAGAATAAAAACATGGAATTTCTATTTTGATATATTTTTTTCAACGTTTTACTTCTAGTTTAGTCTTTTTCCTTGTCTCATTGCCATCAACATCATTTTGACTTTCGACAATTTTTTTTATTGATTTGGTTTTCACATAATATTGTTATTATTCATATATTCATGTTCTAAATTAATCATGTCACTTTAATTTTAATTCGTCCACAAAAATTATCACATTTCTTTACTTTCTTAATAAAGTAAAGAAAATATGTTCTACCTATTTTCTTTGTTTTTAATTAAATTTTAATCATTCACCACGTACATTTCTATATTTTTTAAGCTATGTAAATCCAAAATGTGCCAATTCGTTTGGTATTGAGAAATAATTAGATTCACACACACACACATATATATATCTTACTTACACAACGAATATATTTTTAAACGGGTATGAATAAAATTATTTTCCATGACTTTTAATTAGGAGAATCCATCGGACCATAAAGAGTATGAACCAAGAACATATAAGAAAATACTAAAATTATTTTGTTTTTTTATTTATTGCATGAAATACTTCCTCCGTCCCTGAGTATTTGTTTACTTTTGATTTTTTTGGTCAAAATTGGTAAACTTTGGCCTCAAATTAAATAAAAATGGTATAAGATATTGATACAAAAACAATTTTATTAAATTTAATACATCAAATATTTTTTAAATATTATTTTATCTAATTAATACACGATAGATATTTTATTTAATTATAGGTCAAAAATTGAAAATAATTAACTAAGAAAAGTAAAAAATGGACAAATACTCAAAGACGGAAGTATTACAAAATACTCCGTAATGCATTTAGAAGTCAAGTTGGGAGAGAGTAGAGACTAGGAAAGGCCCAGTCTTCTCGCTGGCAAAGGGCACAATCTGTATGCCCACACTTTGAAATAGGCCAAGAATTTGTACGCAAATGGCCCACTACTTATGTCCTCTTATCCAACATCTTAACATGCACCTTGTTGACAATCACAATTCACAAACCTCACAACAAATCTCTTTCGTCTCAGAGCACGCAAATTTGTTTTTGCATTAATATTTAACATAAATTTTATATAATTTATAGTCAAATTTATTAATTTTAATTAGAATAATTCAAAATTTGACAAATATTCTAGACGAGAGTAGTTATAGCTTACAAATTTTGATTGCATAATTTCATTTTACCAAGACTTCATGAAAAAGTAACTCGAATATACAATGAAAAGAGTGATTCATTTGTCTCAAAAAAAGTTTTATACTTTGCTTTTTATTTGCTAGAAAAAAAATTTCCTATTTTTCCTATTCAAAAATCAATTATACAATTTCATATTTATTAATAATTGTATCTGGTGTACTTTGAAATTTTATTTCAAGACAGATGGAATATATAATCAAGAAAAAATGATAATAGTAAAATGTAAGTGAAAAAATGTATCCCACACCCGAAGCAAGTTTGAAGAAAAAGTAAGTAATGAGTTGAATTAAATAATCGATCGAATTAAAAATTTTAATATAGTTCCGCCTAAATAGTTCTTACTATTTATAAAACAAACAAGATTTTATTTGTGTAGTTCAAATTATGGATTTTGGTGTACATGTAACATTGAGCTTATTTGAAATGGGATCTTTTTTAAATGGAACTTTGGTGTTCAATTGAAAGTCTTCCTCCAACTCATAAATATGCAAACACTAATTCATAGACATAAAGTGTTATTAGTAATATGTACGTATGTATAAAAAAACTGAACACTTGGTATATATTTTTCCACTATTTCATTTTCATTCTTTCATAGACTGAGAGTGTTATTAGTAATAAAATATAATACTTCCTCCGTCCTAAAACTTTCTTCTCACTTCCCCTTTTTCCCCGTCCTAAAACTACCTTCCCATTAGAAAAAAAGATGACAAATGACATTAATACCCTCATGTATTTACACTAATTATCTTCTAACTCTATATTTTGAATGATTGCAAAAAAAATTCAAAAAATCTTTTTTAAGAAGGGTAAAATTTAAAGTCAAAGCCAAAAATTAAAAATGGGAAAAAGTCAAACTGGGAAGAAAAAATTAAGACGGAGGGAGTAAAAAACTATGAACGAACATCAATTTCATAATACATTTTCTAAGTATAATACAATGAAATAAATGTGCGAAAGAGATATTGTGGGATTTGTGGGTTGTAAATACAGCACGGTTGGGCGAATGTCATGCTATGACATTGGCTCCAATTGGAGCTCTTACGGTGTGTCGTTTGAAAAATTGACAGTTTCTACCCCTTCTAACCCCTGATAAGCCCCCATCTCAGCTTGACCCATACCGACTCCCGCACCCCTCCAATTGCACCCCGCAAAATTTGTTGATTTTGGGGTCAAATATTGACCCCAAAATCAACAAATTTTGTGGGGTGGAATTGGAGGGGGCGTGTAAGTCCGTTCGGGTCGGAGTGGGGTGAAGGGCTTACTGAGGAGGTTAAAAGAGATATGAGCTATCAATTTTTTCAAACATGACAAGGTAGGATCCCCGAGTTACCATGACATTGATTCTTGATACGGAGTATTAAGGGAATTGTCCCTTTGTAAATATGCATACTTAGATATGCAAGGTTCCATTGACACTGACTTCTAGTGCCAACGGATTACTCTCGCTATTTCAAATTTTTCCGTTGCTTGGTTCATAAAATTAATGGTTCACCCCCTAACCCCCTCCCTAAACCTCCCACCACACCCCACCCCAGCCCCACCCATGCGCCCCCTCCCTAAACCCCCCTTTTACTCCCTCCAAACGTGTGGGATTATGCAATGCATAATAACCACACATTTTGAGGGCTTAGGGTAGGTTGGAGTTGGGGGCATGGGCTAGAGTGTGGGTTTAGGAGGTCTGTTGGGGCTAGGAAATACGGAGTATCAATTTCGTAAACGAAGCATCGAAGATCTCCAAAAACACAATGACATCGCTAGTAGCACGGTTGGCGAGTGTCAAAGGAATCGTGCCCTACTTCGATATACGCTGAATATCAGGATTTATAATATCAAATGTCCAGTTATGCAACCTAGAAAAGGGTGGGGTAAAATGTGAAAACGTGGTTAAGAGGTTAAGGTTATCCGGCCAGAAAATGATCTTCATTAAAGAGCAAAGGATTTTTGTCTTATAGATACTTGTTCCAGATATTACATTAATCCTTTTATCCAGTAAATGTAACAGCTGATTATACGTTGTCAAAAAGATTCCTTCCATCTCTCTCACCCCCACACCCCACACCCACACCCACACCCACACTTATTGCTTGTCTCATTTCCCATTTTGTGCTTCTTGTGATAAATATATATTTTCTTGTTTTCATTTTAAGCAATTATTTATTTATTCATCTCATCATCATCATCATCATCATCATCCATTCTTGAATCTCCAAATCCAATTTCTGGGTTTTTTCCCTCAAGGTTTATAATTTTGGGTTTTTTTTTTCACTTGAATTTTTTTTATTCTTGAATCCCCAAATCCAGTCATCCAGATACTGGGTTTTTCCTCAAGGTTGATAAATTTGTTTTTTTTTTTAAATTTTCACTTGATATTTTAGATTCTTGGCTCTTGAAATTGAACTCTTGTCTGGTGTTTGGTTTTACATGGCACAGCATCTTCATCTTCTGCTCTCCTTTTCTATCTGAATTTGGGTTTAAGAAACCTGAATTTGTTTTTGAGATTTATTCTTTATATATAAATAGATATAGATATATATATATATGAACATGGCAATATCTTTCTATTCATTGAACCATCCATCAAATATGGTGGTGGGCTGTAAAATTAGGCAAAGAATTGAGGTTATTAGAGGAACTAGAACTTTGAGATACCATCAAGTTCTTGCCATGGCACCTTTTTCAATTGTGCCGAAATCGGGCAATATGGTAACCAACTCCACGAACCGTTTACCCCCGGATGGGCCGGGCGGGTTTCGGCCTGCCCGATCCAGCTTGGTAGGAATCATTGGAGGGGTATCGGTCGACTCGACTCTGAGATTCGTCAAGAAACTCACGGAATGCGGGTTGAAGGACGAGGAGGAAGACGGGGTGCCTTTTGTGATGTGTTGTGATCCATTGCTGAGTAAGAACATCTCGTCCTACGAAAGGAGTTCGATCCCTTTCCTTTCGGGCAAGTGCCGAACCCCGCAAACGGACGACCGTTCGATCGTGGAACGGTTGAAGAGAAAACGGGTATTTCTCGAGGGCTCGGGTGTCCAATGTGTCGTTATGCCATGTCACATTGCGCATTCGTGGTATGATCACGTGGCGGATGGGTCATCGGTAGCTTTTCTTCATATGGGCGAGTGCGTGGCGAAGGAGCTTAAGGAAGCTAAGCTTAGGCCTCTTGAAGCGGGTAGTCCTCTTCGGATCGGTGTTCTTGCTACCAATACTGATCTTACTGCTGGATTTTACCAGCAAAAGCTTCAAGCTGAGGTAAATAATTAGATATGACTCTTTGTTTCTATTCTTTTTACCTCCCCTTCATAACAGTAACATGGTACTTTTCTGCATATTTTTCTAGTCCTGTTTTTAATATTACTATAGATTGAATCATAAAATGAATCACATTTTGTTGATAAGAAGGATTAACCTTTACAAAGTATGAGTAGAGATAAATTGCATAAAACTAGAAAAAAATTTATAAATTACTACTTCCAGGTATGAGGGTATGTTTGGACAAGAATACCCCTGACCACAACAACAACAACAAATCTAGTGAATACCCCTGTACACACACTTATCCATACCATGAAAGTAGAGAGGTTGTTTAAGATACAAAAATACCCCTAAATGTGCATAAATATTTGAGGAAAATCGAGAAATGAATAAAAAATCCAATTGCTGCAAAAACGTTTTTTTGTTTTTTGAATTTGTATTGTTCTTGTAGGGTTTTGAGGTTGTACTACCAGACAAGGCAACCATAGAACACACTATAATCCCTGCAGTGGAAGCCCTGGGCAGAAAGGATATCGAAGGGGCACAAAACCTGTTCCGAATTGCATTACAAGTCCTATTCGTGAGAGCCGTTAACACTGTGATCATTGCCTCTGATGACATCCGCGAAGTCCTTCCCGTGGACGATCCCCTCCTCAAGAAATGCATTGACCCACTCGACGCATTGGCGCGGTCAACTGTAAGATATGCTCAATCCGTTGGGAAAATGTAAAGAAATCCCAGCAGTGTGTCCATTGTTTGTTGTTCATTGTTCTTGAATTCAAACATTCTTTATCTGTTCTAAGAAAATTGGGAATTGTTAATAGTATCTCAGTCATCAAACCCCTAAGGTCCAAGAAATTGGCCTTTTGGTAGCCATATTTTCGCCCTATTTGGATATGTATTTTTTTTGCCAAACAAGAAGTTTATGTGCCCTTGAATCTTGAATTGGTTAATAATGAAGAAAAAAAGGTAAGTTTATGAGTGAAGAATGAAGATGATCAATTTAGCTTTTTCTTTCAGTTTGGTTTTAAATTTGATTTGAGACTGTGTTTGATTGGAGTGGGAAGAAATTTCTTTCCCCTCCAACTAAACAAACTCTATAGATGGAGAAGAATAATGATGGGAAATGATCAATTAATGCTCTCAAGAAATAAATCTCTAAAAGAGACAGTTAAAACAGAGCATGATTATAACAAAGTGAAGATTTCATTGATTATCAAAGATCATGATGAGAGTCATACAATGTATCACTTCAGGAATCAAATGCTATTTCCATTTTTGAAGGTTTCCCAGATTATATACAGAGTTCTATGCAACAATGAAGAACAACACATGCTATGAGCCATGAGTTGATCAACTGAAACAATGAATACAATTTCCCAGATTCTGCTAATCAGACGAATCATAAGCACCGTTTGGCTTACTTTTTCAGCTGAAATGGAAACTAACGAACTGAAAAAAATCAGTTCGGATCAATTTCAGCCGAATGACGCATTGCCAAACGGGCTTTATTTACCATCTTTGGTTGATGAAACAGGAAGAGCATGCAGATTGTCAATCCAGTCAGCATACACTTCACTGATCTTCTTGATATCGGCCCGCTTGAACAGACACCCTTTCTTGTGTTGTTGCAGTTTCTGATGAACCCCAAATCCAGTCTTGAAGGTTGAAGAAATTTTAGATGAATTCAGCTTGCCAAACCTTGGCAGATCTTTCAAGGATCAAAAAACACTAGTTTCAGAAATCCTTCAAATCAAAGGAGAAGTTATAGGCATTATTAGGCCAACTTGAACATTTACCTGCATTTCCATGAGGTGAATTTGAACTCTGACTTTGAAGGCTCTTAGATTCGTCGCCATAGCTAGTTGCGATGTATATGGCGGAGCTTTCCCTGTGCGCGCCGGAGCCGGGATTGCATCTATTTTCACCGGCGAATTCATGTAGGAACCGGCAATTGTCACCGTACGGACAATGTCTACCACCAACAAAATATTGGCAGAGATTGATTCTCTCGCCACTCCTCTGAATCGGGTTCAGGCGGACATTACTGGCACCGGATTCTCCCATATTTCCGACGACGTGCGCGTAGCGACATCGCTCACCGTATGCACATCTTCCCTGGGTGAATAGATAGCACCGTTCGCGCGCGTTGGATCGCGTTCCGAAACTCGAATGGTGGACTGTAAGCGGGCGATTCATTGCAGAAATCGCATTAATTTCATACGATCTCGAGTTGCTGTTGGAAGATTCAGTTCCTTCATCGGAGTTGGCTCCGATTTCACGGACGGAATTCTGGTATTTGGCGCCGCCGGTGTGCCGATCCTCACGGCTCATCGTTTCTAGGATTCTGAAACGAAGTAGAGAGACGGATTGTGATTGTTGTGGCGTGGTGACTCCGGCGATGAATGGTCTTTCCGACGTACCTTTTCGCCGGGAAATTCAAATCGCCAGTCGACGGGAGTTCCAAATGTTCGACGAAATGCAACAGTGATCCTATTTTGTCCAGATGAATTTCGTCAAAATCGCGTATTCGGGTGTGATGATCCCCGCTTTTTTTTTACCCACTTTACCTGCACTGTCCAAAATTCCAAATGAATTTTATGAGGGTAGAAAATTTATCTCAAATAATCCAATTTTTTTGTGCTCATTTAAAATTAATCTTATATTCTAATATGGAGTATTAAAAAAAGGGAGAACTCCTTAAATAAGAGTAAAAAACTAATCCTTCCGTTCTATAAAAAACTTCTCATTTTGACTTTTAAATGATTTAAGAGAAGTGTATTTTGGTGTTCCAAAATTGTCCTTTAATGTGATGGATAAAGTATGATATGATGGATAGATTAATAGAGAAAAAGTGTGATGTGATAAGTAGGTCAAGACTTAATATGGGTAAAAATGACTTTTTAATAGGAAAAAAGAAGTATTTTTTTGTGACGTATTAAAAAAGAAAGAAGAAGGGTTTAGTGGGACGGAGAGAGTATGAAAATACCAAAATAAGAGTCATAAGTTTTTTTAAAACCAAAATAAGAGTTTACACTGTCATTGTTACAATGTCGCACTCACCACATTCTAACTGTTACACTATCAACCCACACTGTCATCCGTCGTCACCGGCCACCGGAGTGTTGCTGCAGATTGTCGACGGTTGACTGATCACAGTGACATATTACCGTGTCATCATTTTTTCATTGCACTGACAATACATATTCTTACATCAAACTGTCATTATACTCTTATATCAATCTTAAAAGATATAAAGCTCCTATTTTGGAAATTTTTCAAACTTTTTTATTCTTATCCAGGAATATTTCTTGTTAAGAAAAAGAGTCATGCTATGAGTACACCAATAGTATACCCTATTTGAACACCATTGATCATAACCATTGATCGTTTATTTATTTTTAAACTTTTTTTCCATATTTGAGATTATGTGGTAGAGATAGAGTGATTTATATCTGGGGTACACTTTTTGGTGTACATTCAAGAAAAATAATAATCTTACCTTTCTATATTGTTACAGATTTTGGCCATTACTCCCTCGGCTGAAGGAATGGACAGAAGACTCATCTAGAAAGGTGATATTTTATTTTTTAGGCAAAACAATCAAACTATTCCTTAATAAGCCAACCTTTAAAAATGATTCCAAACGCCAGACTAACAATAACTTTTTCATCCTCAAACAACTTGGAGAGTTTTTTATATTTTAAAACTATTTTACTTATAAATTGATGGAAAATTATTACATGCACTAAGGTTTATGATGAACATTCATATGTGCTAAATAAGTATTTTATTTCAAATATTGAAATAAGAATTTTTAAAATTAAAAAAAATATGTGAGAAGGTCCATGTGCATCTTAGAGCACCACTGGTAATGGGCGTAACGCCTGGGGCTTTATTACCCCTTTTAACGCCAAAGGGGCAGCAAACACCGCCCCTTTGGGACTTCATACGGGCTTCATTTCCTCTATTACAAACCTTTAATGGGCTTCAAAGCCTCCCTCACTCTCTCTTTAAAAAAAATATAAACAAACATAATTTTTTTTACTCTATATTTTTTTGTTTAATGTAATATTTTTTTTTGTTTAAATTTTTTTTAGTAATGTAATTTTTTTATATTAAATTTAACATACTTTTTTTATTGACTATATTTTTTATTTATTGAATTATTTCAGTTTGCAATATGTTACTACAACTCGGATTTGAATGAAAATATTTTTAGTCGCTCGAAAATTAGTAATTTCTTTGTAGTGTTGTTTTTTTATGGATGTAATATTTTTTTAATGAATGTAACCTTTTTTATGAATGTATTTTTTTATGAATGTAATATTTTTTTTAATGAATGTAATTTTTTTAATGCACTAGTCTCATTGCGATTAATTTAAATAATAAATTAATTTAAATTTATTAATATAAATTTAGAAGATGTATATTTAAAAATGTAAAAAATGAAGGTTTGAAGCCCCAGTTTGAAGCCTCGGGGCTTCAAACCCATTTCCAGTGATTTTTTGGTGTAAGTTAAAGCTGACGTGACAGAGAGAGAATGTTTGAAGCCCTGGGGCTTCAAACGTATTTCAAGTGCTCTTAGGTCCCCTATAGAATCACTCCAAATTGATATAAATATAAAATCTACAAATTATATATTTAAACAATACATAAAAAAATTTACGCTTCTCCGTCCCAAAAACTTTTCTTGTTTGTTATTCCACGCTTCCGATAACTTTTGTTTGCATGTACTTTTTCATTGATCATTTGATAAGATAAAATATTTTTGTCATCATTTATTTTGTACTCCATCCGTCTCAAATTAAATTGTCTGTCTACTATTCACAAACTCCATTCACTTATATCACCACTAGTTTTGTGTATCTTTTGATGTAGTTTTTAATTATATAATTTTCATTTTTTAATTTGACACCGTTTTTCATATAAAATGATTTGAAAATAACTTCAGTCAAATATTATAAATCAAAACAGACAATTTAAATTGAGACAAAAAAAGTAAAACTTTTTATTTAATTCTTAAATACAACAAACAACAAACAACAACAATCCAGGTGAATCCCACAACAGTAGGGTCTGGGGAGGGTGTGTGTACGCAGACCTTGCCCCTACTCGGAAGTAGGGAAGCTGTTTCCAAGAGACCCCCGGCTCCACCTGCACAAAAATATGGAAGGGAACACAGTATAACACAGATAAAGTACCAAGTACAAGCAACACGTACAAGCAATAGCAGAAGATTCCTAACAAATACAACACACTACAAAACAACCTCTACAACACCGAGCTCCTATCCAGCTACTCTAATCCTAGTTTTCCAAAGGTTCCTATCTAGGGCCATATCCTCAGTCAGATCGAGAAGTCTTAAATCCTGCCTAATCACCTCCTTCCAATTCTTCCTAGGTCTACCCCTTCCCCTACTTCCCCCGATAACCGTAATCCTCTCGCATCTCCGTACAGGTGCGTCAGCATCCCGCCGTCTCACATGGCCAAACCATCTCAACCTCGCTTCCCGCAACTTATTTATTTAATTCCTAAATATGTATGTTATACTTTTTTTAGAGTACTTCTTTGGTGCACCTTGGATGTATTTCATTTTTGTGGACATATTCACATTAAAAAAATCTTTTTTTAAATTTATTTATTTTAAAAAAGAAATGCCTATTTAAGTAGTAAAGAAATATTTATTTTATTCATATGTATGTCCATGGTGGACCATAGGTTCACCATGAATTTGCCTTATTTCTATACCAATTTGTAAATTAAATTATTTTAAAATAGATAAAATTTTACACATTATATTCCAAACAAAAAAAGTTTTGGGGACGAAAGGAGTACAAAGTAAAAGATAACAATAATATTTTGTTTTATCAAATGATCAACAAAAATATACAAACAAAAAGGATTATCGAAAAGCGAGAATAATAACTATGACGATAACTCTCAGATGGAGGGAGTATGATATTTGACATAGTTTAAAAATATATAATTTTTATTTTAATTTTAAACCATTATTTAAATGATAAGAATTTTAAAAAAATCAATCAATCAAAGTTTGGTGAATTTAGTTTTGAGAACAAATAAAGTGGGGTACAAGTAGCTATATGAAAGAATATTAAAGGATGAGCCCCATCCCCAAAAGTCCGCTCAGACTCGGCCGGACAGTATATATGAAAGAACATAAAACGTGTAAACGCGTTACGCATTGAAGAAAAATGTTGAACTTGAGTGTCATCATAAACCCAATGAGAAACATTAGAACACAAATAAAATACATGTTATGAGTAGGCAATATAAGTCAAAATCTGGGGAAAAGCAGCAAGAATTCATATTACACACATAGGAACTGTATCCTTTTTGGTTTGGGTCATTGAAAACTTCATGTCTGAACACTTGTAGTCCACACACACAGCTTTCTTCTACAATCACTTTTGTTCAAATGCCATGGAAAGAAGGAAGGATCTCCATGATGGGATCACCATATGCAACAAAATCTGTTCATCCAAAATTAGTAAAAAAAAAGTGGATCAAAATGTGACGGATATATTTCATGATATTACATACAAATCCATGTAAAATTATGTCACAGTAAAGTCCCATTAGTGGGGTTTGGGACGGATGGTTGTACGCGATTTACCCCTACCTATAAAGGTAGAGATGTTTCTCAAAGAAAATTTGCGTAAAAGTTTAACACTCCGGTTCCATGGTCACTCTTTTAGTGGCCACGGAGTACTCTGTCCTAATTTGGACATCTAGAGTGCTCCGTTCGCAAAATTGATAGTTCCTACCCCCGGTTAACCCCTTCACCCAGTCCCGGCCCCTACCCACCTCCCTACGCATGTCAATTGCGGGGTGCAAATTTAGTTGACTTTGGTTTGACCCAAAAGCAACTAAACTTGTACCTTGCAATTGCATGGGTAGGGGGGTTTACCGGGGGCGGGGGGTAGGAACTATCAATTTTGAAAACAGAGCACCGTAGGTATCCAGTGTCCTCCGTGGTTACTCAAACAAAGTGGCCAAAGAACCGGACCCAAAGTATATATGTAAATTCCTATACATGGTGTACACAATGAGGCACCATCACAAATGCCTTCAAGCAACAACAAGCCAACAACTAACCTAGTAAAATATATTGATTATCAAATAACAAAAGGCAGCCTAGAAGCAACCTCTTGCAAAAATGCAAGATAAAATTTGCCTATATCATGCCATTATAGTGGGACCCTTCCCAGGACATGTGCACAGGACTGCCCTTTTTTATCAACTGACTATATAACATACCTCCATCCTTTAACAGTATTTTTGTAACCTCTCCTGCCACAGTACACTGAAAAAAAAACGAGAGACAGAAAAGAAACAGATGAATTAGTTGAAGGACACAACACAGTGTATCAAAAGTCTTAAAAGTAATACAACTCAACAAGAAATTACGGAGTATATTTTTTTAAAAAATCCAAACCTCAACAGGAACCTCCCAACTAGCTTGGTCAATATAGCATATTATTTGGCCCTCCTTCACTTGTTGTTTCTGTTAAAAATGTGGTAACTAAGGTTATACACTAGGTAGCGGGAGCTGAAAGCCTGAAACCTTGAGAGGGCAGGCTAAAATCATGCAATGTTTCTAGCATGGATTGTAGAGGCTAGAGAATATATGACATAAAAAGAGGGAAGATCATGTTTGTCCTACAACAGATTTGCATAAAAATTACTCCAACTTCTCCTAACTTACCATATGCCCGTGGTAGTTGTTATTCATTGGTTAACTATATCTTCTTTCTTTCATTATTTTCTTTAATCTATATATTTATTTTGAAATGAGGCCACAGCCTAGGTATTATTGGGGTCTGAAATTCAAAGCATCACGTATAAAATGTGGAAGGGTAATATCTCATTACACCACATCAGACATAGAACTATGAGCCTTAGCTAACAGATGGGTAACCATGGGCCCTGAATTATGACTTACAAACCAAAGCTAACTCCAAAGATGCGAAATTATACAAAAGGAGTTTACTTTCATCTTGGTTATAGATTTCATCATCTAATTATTTAAATTACTCTTTTGGCTTTATTTTCCAATACCCTTTTCCTTGTGAACAGACACGCATGCGTGCACACTTCTACAACAACTGGAAAAAATGCCAAATTGATCTAACTGATTATTTAATACAATTCTTCCTAAAACAGTGGCCCTTCATTTTTCATGCAGTTTCAACTATTACATATCTAAGCCAATTTGATATAGAATTCTTGAAATAACAGTACATCAAAGCATAATTAGACTACCATGTACATACAATGCAATTTTACTTAAACTACCATTTTAATAGCATAAATCCTTGAACAATGGAGGGGGATACCTCTTGACAAGATGGGCGAGCAAGTCTTCCCCTGATAGTCCTAGATCGCTTAAAAATGCCAACCTGTGCATCAATGAAAACATTCAGTACAAGGAATGTCCAGAAGCTGGTTGGAGTTCAACATATAAGTGTGAGTAAATATCAACTCTACATTATCCTTCTGGGCGAGTTGAGCACTTGAGCTCAATTTAAAAATCTGGATTATTGTATTATAAACACACATGCATGAAGGGTGTGTGTGTCTAGACACACATGAGTAACGGACTCTCACCTTTGGGGATCGGATGATCACTAACCCTTCATCGGCAGCTTTAACAATCGAAGTGCCAACCTCATCTGATGAATCCAGTTTAACAATGGATAGACATGGTGATGGGGCTGACCCATTTGAATTAGCCAACTCAACTGCTGTAGAACCATCCTCAGAAGCAGGAATTGGTGGGGGAAGGGAAGTTGATGGTTGACTTTTTAAGTTCCTCATCACATATAACTTGAAATCCCCAACCTAAGCATTACAAAAATAAGATGTGTGATGCTACCCATGGGGACAGGCAACAAAGAGGCAATGCATAGTAAAGTATAATTAAAAACACTAAGAGTTAGCCATGCTCACTTTTAATTCAACTTCTGCTATTGTGGTTGTATCACATAATTCCGTGAGGAACGATTCAACCTGTAAAATAAGGACAGGAGAACTAAACAAAATTATTTATGCAAAAAGGCGAGAATTGCCATTTACTTGAAATTGATGTATAATTACTGATCATGATATTTTCTTTAAAGTTGGAGATACTTTTGAGAAGGAATAAAATGGTATTTCAAACAAAAAATTCAAGAGATAATCTTGGGAGGGTTATTGCTAGAGAAGCGCTATAGTTTCTGACAACTCTAAAATAAAGCTGTTACAAATGCTATAGTTTCCAACAAAGCTAAAATAAAGCTGTTACAGATCAAAATGGAGCGCTGCTAAGAGATGTTCTAAAACAATGAAACAAGCATCTTCTTAATGAGTAGATGAATGATTTCTTATAAGCTTGTCTTACCTGCGAATCAGGAATCAACCCCCTTTCAAGTATTTTCTATGAAGTGAGCTTTGCATAAAAATGGTAATTGGATTATTCCGAATCTATATTTTGGAAAACAATTTTCATTCGCTTTCCTTCTGATTTCTCCTCTGCTCTGAC